GCGCGTGTATGTACGCGTGTGCGTGTGTTTAAGCGTGCAGAGAAGGCGCCTACGCCTACGCCGCTCCACTCCGCTGTGGGAACTCGCATTGTGGACCACACGTGTCGACCGGGGTATTACGGTGGCCCTGTGTGTTTATAGGTGCACGATAAGATGACGCGCGTGTGTGTGTGTGTGTATATATATATATATATATATATGCATAAGAGCAAGAAGAGATGGTGAAAGAGAGAAAGGATCGAGAGAGAGAGAGAGAGAGAGAGAGAGAGAGAGAGAAAGAAACACAGCGGAATCATGAGATGAAAAGCGAACAGGGCGCGGTCCATTCCAGCGCATGCGATTCTAATCCCCGCCGTCGTGTCCATTCGCCGTCCGACACGCACGTACTTTCGAAAATCGCTCATCTAAGCCACTGACATGAGAAAAAATTCGGAAGTTGCGACAGCAATCTTCAACTTCTTTAAAGATTTAGCAGAATTTTTTTTTATTGAAACTCTCTTTTGATAAATTTATGCAATAAATTTCGATATAATTTTCACATCAAATTTCGTTTTATTAGCAGCGGGATAATTAATTTGAATAATTTCAAACTTTTTGAACTTTTTTTTCTCGAAAAGTAATAATTTTATCTTTAAATTAAATATGTAGCAGAAAACTCACATATTTAAAGAATATTTACTCAATATATGAAAAATTATTCTTTAAATCTTGAGACGCAATGTCATTATCCGAGTTACCCCTACAATTTTAACGAAAATAAATTTTGAGGGATAATTTGAATAACATTGAAAATGAACATTAATATTACAATAAAAACCAAATCTTATATTTAAATGTTTTTTTGAACATTTTATTATATTTTCCAGATCAAATTGAACATAAATTAAACAAACATAAAATGATCATGTTGGTCCCAATATTTTAAGTACGACTTTTCAGATAAAATTAAACAGAAATAAGTAAGAGAACTTCTGATTTTGACATATTTATCTCTTTCTAAAGTTTTCTAAAACTTTACTAAACTCAGGGATGCCCAATAGAAGTTCTAGGAACTTTATTTTCACTATATTTGTTTTTACTTAGATTGTACTTTTTTGTACAAAACATGAAATAGTTGTGCAACTCCTAAAACCGAGATCGTACACTATCAATGACAGCTGTAACGGCTTGTTCCATGCTTTCTTTGCTCTAATTCAATCAAGCATTCCTTTTTTATAATGCTTAATGTCTGATATAATGAAATATATTTAAATAAAAGATAAATTATCTTTAATAAAACATAAATAAAATCTTTTATTTTTCTGAAATACTTGTAAATACTTACTATTATCCAAATTCCCTGCTGTTCAAATTAATCCCCCTGTACCCTATGTGGAATATATTACAAGATACTATACACGTATGCAAAACAAAATTTCCGTTTTTTTTTATCTGAATAAAATTACGGAGATTCACATTACAAATGTGAGTTTGACGGAATTCAGAATCTAGGCGATGGCCAGTGAATTTAGGAGAATAAATAAATAATTGCAACTTCGATCTTCAATTGATCTTCGCGTGGGGCTAAGAGATCAATTTGTCCCGTTCGTTTCTCTATGCCAAGAGCTTTCCCTTGACGCACATTCGTTTCCGCTTCGTCGAATTTAAGCCGCTCAGCTATAAAGCTCTGTATTTGAGCAGCGATGCGTGCTGCGCGACAAAATGTTCCTCCTTGATCGCGAGATGCTGTGCAAAGCGAGGCGCTTTTGTGCGAAAAAGGCGAGCTTAATGGACGTGGCTGCGAAAAAACAGATCGCTTTTCGTCTTTGATTCGCGACAGATTCAACGAAAGCCGATCAAACTAATACTGTTTCTCTCTCTCTCTCTCTCTCTCTCTCTTTCTTTCACTAAAATCCATGAACGTCGTAAAAATCTATGACTGTAAAAAAAATATACTTACTGCATTTTGATTTGAAATCACGATTTCTTCCAAGAGTCCAAAATTTGTTTGGGATTCATTCTTTTTCATAACTTTTTATCTTTTCAAATTTTAATATCTTATTGTTAAATCTAAACACTTCACAGAAACGATCACTGAAATATGTGCTCAAAAATATTTATTTACATCCTATTAAAATTTTATATTATATATATTTTTAATAAAATCTTTTTAATACTTTCAAAAAGAAAACTGATTATTTATCACTAATCAAGAATCGAATATATCCATAATCAGTTTGTAATAAAGTTGTTATAAATGTATAAACAATACACTGGTTTTGATAATATCGTTGCTGCATCGAACATAGAAAATCATTGTTTGTAGAATAAACAGGTCTTTTCATTGGGCGCGTTTTTCCGGTAAGGGAGCTCACCGTTGAAAGAACAATTACTCCTGGAAAATAATAATATTTGTACCTGTTACGATGTGCACGGCCAATTTGGTCGATAAAGCAAACAACCCCGAAGCGGATTTCGCATCGCTTCTTTCCGCCACGTATACGCGTGTCTGCGCATATAAAACCGCCACGCTGTTTCAATTTGAAAAAACATTTCTTTTTTACATACCTTAACTTGCTTATTGACGACGCTTCATAATAGTAAGATTTTAAAATAATCATGGGAAGCATTTTCAATGATATTATTATTGTTATTGGATTTCTATCGTGAAATATGTAAAATCTTTTTTATCATTTACAGAACAAAATAAGATTCCAATATACGAAATTATAATAAGACGCATAAAGTACATAAGTGAAGGATAAAAATAAAGGCTTAATAAAATGACAAGAAATTAGCTTAGGCTAAAAAACTTCAACAAAACAAGTTCTTATATTATTAATAATTTTTTATTGTATTGTAAAATATCTATTTTCTATTTATCCCACCTAAAAGCTAAACTTCCTCATCATTAACTAAATAAATTACCAGCTCGTATTGTAAACTGGCTGAGAACATGAGGTGATATTTTTTCGCAATAAATTTTTTACAGATTCGGGGAGATTAGATCCTATAGATGCAAGTTAGCATTTATTTGGAGTCGCAACGAAGGGGTGAAGAGGGGTATGATTTCTTAGATGCAAGTAAGCATCAGTACTCATTAAATTGTTTTAACAGCGTGATGATACGGTTCTGTTTCAATCAAATGCTGCGTTGAATCTGATAATAACGACTCGCAGTTTGTTGAAGCTAGAGTATGTAAAATCACATAATTATATTTAAATATTAACTGACATTTATATTTTGCTCGTCTTTGGCCTCTTATCCTGACTATTCCTCATTATTATTAAAGGGTTCAATTCGATTTCTTGAACATTTTCTTATTTCTATTTAGTTTATACAGTTAGACTAGCGAATTAACATTTCATCATATCATGATATAATAGCGATATTATTTCAAATATGATTATTATCAGTAATACATTGATCTTTAAAGAAGAAAGATAAAAAATGATTGCATTAAAAAATACATGCAGCGCCGCATTAATCTATTTTGCTTCCATGGGATGAAATATTTGGAACTTCCTTTTATATGATGTTACCTGGGTAAAATTATTTTTAGGAATTATATTAAATCAATTTCTCAATCTTGTTTTAAGAAATCCTTTATTTATTTCGGCTAATTTACAAAAATAACAAAAAATAACAAAAATAAAAAATTGAAGAATAATAAGTAAAACAAGTCAAAATGCTTTTTTCTACATTTAAATGCAGAAAATAATTGTAATTTGAGCTCGTAGTAACTTCGAATTCGACGAACAGAAAATTCAGGTCAACTAAAAAGAAAAATTCTTTCTAAAATTTGCCGCCTTAAATTATAATAGCCCGTGCCAGAATATGGGCACTGGATATATGAATAAAAAGAAAGAAAAATATGATATTTAAGAATTAAAAGAAAATATTAATATTATACGGTATCAGAATCTGTCTAAAGGATCTATAAAGAAACTACGTGTCGAGAAATAAATTCAATCGAAAATATGATATACTGCAACTAAACAATAAGTCATGCGGTGGCCGACATGCTAAGAGCGTAAGTTTAATAAATATTAATATATCACGTCTCGAGGAAATTGAATTCTGATGGTTAAAACGGCGACGTCCCGATGCGAGAAGAAACTCCCGTTGCGCCAGTGGCGAAGTATCTCTCGACGGGGCGATGCGTGATAAAGGGGAGATATTGCGACGCCAGTGCGAACGTGGGAATCCGCGGCTGCTATCCGCTCAGCCTCATTAATGATGATGTGCTTGCCACCCAGTTGCAGCTCTCGCTTCGCCATCTCGCTCTATCTGTCTTCCTCCCCTACAGCGTCCTCCGCTCTCTCCCTCCCACCTCTCTCTCTCTCTCTCTCTCTCTCTCTCTCTCTCTCTCTCTCTAGATTTGCAGCCACGCTCGGAAGATCGAGCTCTGTGGAAGCTGACGCCCGGCCAGCCACCACATCCGATCTACACCACCCTCTTTCATCCACGATTCGTCCCCTCTTCCCTCTCGACCTCTTGTTCGCCCCTCCTCCCCTCATCGGGTCACGGGATATACAGCTCTCGTACATCTCGAACGACCTACAACGCGCGTTACACCCCGAATTCAATTCCGCGCAACCTGCGCCCACTTTTTCGCTCCCACCGTTAAGTCCATCGCCGATATTATTGATAGGCGTTTTCTAGATACGGACCTTCTCGATCGCTGAAGGGCGAGAGTGCATAAGGATATTTTTCATTAAGCTTCAGAAAGGGTTGAGGGCACACTTATTCATGTTACCAGTTTTTAAAAACGTTGATTGTGCGCGATCTTCTTTTCTTTTCCGTATAGAATGTAAATGAATTTTATAAATCTCTTTGAAAGTACATACATTGGTGTACCTTTCCGTACAAAATTATGTAAAGTACATCTAAAAAGTATAAGTATAAGAAATACAATTTTTAATCGTAATAAGTATCCTTTCGGAGAGCTTCATGATACAATCGCGAAGCAATCTGTCAGACGTCAAAAGTAATATAATTACGTCCTAACTGGTGTTTAGCAGTACAACATGAGCGCGGACCGAGGAAACCGAAGCCCCACGCGATTATCTCGTCGGAGAAGCAACATCAGCAACAGTCACCGATTGTCACGCAATTGTCTCCTCATTCTGCGGCTCCGGTGCACAATGATCGATTAAGACCAGCGCTAGCTCCCCCGTACGTTCTCTCGCCGCACAGGTGTGTAATGTGCTTGCATCAAATTAAGTGCCTTAATCGCGTTAAATTAACATATTTGTCTTATTAAAAAGTATTAGTATACTGACAAGCGATAGAATCATAAGAATTGAATTGATATAGAATAAAAAATAATAAAAGCGAATTGGCGTATCCAGGATTTCAGTTAGAGCGAGGGGGGGGGGGGGGGGCAAAAATTTATCTTTACAGAAAACTTGTTAAAATACTTATATTAAAGCCAGTCTTTCTTTGGAGATCTTCAGTGAACTTCCTGAATACTTCTTTCAGCTTCTTTCTTTTTATAAAAAAAATAATTTTTATAATTTTAATTTGTTTCTTTTTGTTAAAATTTAACGGAGAGCAAACGCCTTTCCTCTCTTCTTCTACCCTTGTTTACATACGCTCATGGGACAATAATTCTGGAATTTTTACATTTATTTGTGTTAGATGTTGAAAGGAATGATCTAATTATTCTAATTACTCTGATTTGTTAACATTCGCCTTATAATAGGGTGATCATTACATTAACGGCAAATTCTATGATCAATCTAATATTTACCTTTCTTTATTAAGATAGTCCAAACATTAATAGTTTTTGTTAACTAACAAATATAACAAATAGAATCTATATATATTCTTTATTCTTATATTGTATGCAAGTTTAATTTTAATAGAATATGTTAAGTAGAATTTTACTTTAATAAAATTTGAATTACAATTCAAATTATTTCTCATAAATAAGATCAAATATTTATAGTTTTCAATCGGATTTTATCGGCAAATCTGACATGAATCAAAGAATTTTTATTAATTTATAGAAATTGAAAAAACAATTGCCGATTGTAAAATGTTCAAATGCTTAGAGAGTTATGTGACTACTGCAAAGCATCAAGTCTAGTTTAATGTATGCACTTAAGTATGTATCACTAAAATTAGAGATATATGTTAAAATAAAAATCGTACATAAATACAAGGGACATAAGTGCCATTAAAAATAAAATACTTTGAAATCAGGAATTTCCCTAAATGTATCTTTACTCATCTACATTTATATCGCATAACGTATCTCTTTACAACGGAGAATTTTAATTTCGTGGTATTTTATTTTTTATAGTACTTTTTATGTTCCTTGTAATTACGTAAGGTTTTCATTTCAACGTGTATCTCCAATTTTGACAATATATGCTTAAGAGTGTAAGAATTACAATTGATTAACACTTAAGAATTATAAATACATTGTAAATTTATTGAAAAAAATCGTAGTATGTTAATGATCATCTTCTGTGACATTCTCATTGACGTAAAAGCTGATATTAGATTTGGTCAAAGAATTTAATTCGCAAAGCTTTAATGCGGTAGTAGGAATATACTTCCGTATAGCTACAGAAGATGATAAAATTTCATGAAGTGACACAGACTCTTCGTGAAGTAGTTAAGGGTTGTTACTGTAGAAGGTTAAGGTGCGACCAAAGATTCACGCCTTATCCACGACCGATGGCGCTGGTACAGAAATCGCCGGAGGAATCACCGTCCCCCGTACCGTTGATTCTACCGCACCCTCGCACGACCACGACCCTCTATCAAGCAGCCACGACCGTCTCCCTAGCGCCGCAGCCTCCCCTTTTGCAGATACTAATGTCCGCCGAGGAATGTCAGGTAAGTAATTCAGCTTAATTTCGCCGCCCGTCTCCCTGTTTCGTTCCTGCAAACTTAATAAAGGCGGGTTGCTCCGCTTAGTTTCTTCCTCCGCGATATCTAAATGGCGAGCAAATTACACGTAGGAATTATTATTTAACAAATAATAAGGGGGAAAGAAGAAATAATTCGGCCGAGGTTAAATGTTAGTCGTTCAATAACATTTTTAATTTTTAAATCTTTAAATTTCAGCTACTGTTAATAGTCGATTATTGTTGCACAATTCTTTAAGAATTACACAATTATAACTCAAAATTGAAATAACACTGTTTAATTAAAAAAATGACTTTTTTCGAATACTATAACGGGACTAGCTATTTCTCGAAGTTTTTTGGGCGCTAAATCCGAATTCGTAGAATTACTCTATCACGTCACAATTTTAAGAAATTCGTAGATAAAGTTGTAAAAAATTGCTACTTTTACATATTTTGTCATATTATAACTTAATTCGAAATACGACGTATTGGAGAAGTGTTCGTGGAGTCTAAAATAAGTATGTTGTTAGGACTTTCAACCCTCAAAAGGAATTTTTTGTATCCGTTATGGTTAACAAGTTATTTATTGTTATACAGGATTATAGGATCTATTGCAGAAAAGCTGCGAATTAAATTATTGACAGTTTACCAAACAGCTTCCAATTTTGTTTATATCAACTTAAGTGTTTTTTAAATTGCTGAATGCAAATCCAATGTTAAAATTGAGAAATTCCCAATGGCGGATTCAATAAAAAAAAAAGACTTTTTTCGAATACTATAACGAGACTAGTCATTTCCCGAAGTTTTTTGGACGCTGAATCCGAATGCGGTCGTAAAATTGCTTTATCACGTCACAATTTTGAGAAATTTGCAAATAAAGTTGCAAAAAGAGCATATATTCTCATATTTTGTCATATTATATGAAATGCGACGTGCTAGAGAAGTGTTCGTGCTATTAAGTATACAAAATTAAGTATGTTGTTAGGATTTTCAATTCGCAAAAGGAAATTTTTGTCGATTATAATTAATAAGTTATTAATTGTTAAACGTAGAGACTATTAACAACTGTGAATTAAATAATTTACTAAACAGCCTTGCTTCCAATTTTGCTTATTTTGCGAAAACCACAATTTTAATCTGAAGCTTACACAAAAAATAAAACCTATTTGTGAATACACGCGCGCGCATGTACACACATACGCACACACATTTTAAAATATTAACATTTTAAAAATATTTTTTAAGTTTTGACATCTGTTGTATTGAATCCGCCATTTGGAATTTCTTAATTTTGACATTGGATTTGTATTCAACAATTTAAAAAGTACTTAAGTTGATATAAACAAAATTGGAAGTTATTTGGTAAACTCAATAATTTAATTTACCGCTTTTCTGCAATAGATCCTATGTTTAACAATAAATAACTTGTTAATGGAAACAAAAAATTCCTTTTGAGGGTTGAAAGTCCTAACAACATACTTATTTTTGATTCCACGAACGCTTTTCTAACACGTCGCATTTCGAATTAATATGACAAAATATGTGAAAGTAGCCACTTTTACAACTTTATCTGCAAATTTCTCAAAATTATGACGTGATAGAGCAATTCTACAAGCGGATTCGTATTCAGCGCCTAAAAAACTTCGGGAAATGACTAGCCCGTTATAGTATTCGAAGAAAGTCATTTTTTTAATTAAACAGTGTTATTTCAATTTTGAATTATAATTGTGTTCTTAAAGAATTGTGCAACAATAATCGACTATTAACAGTAGCTGAAATTTAAAGGTTTAAAAATTAAAAATATTAATTGTTTGGTTCTTTTTCCCTTATTATTTATTATATGTCCATTTCATTTAAAAAATTATAATTATTATTAATATAAGCGTCTTAGTGGCTATTAATAATTAACGGAAAATGACAATAGTTTTTATCTTGCGGATGTCAATTATTGGCTTTATAATGCAATTGTGTATTATTCAAAATTAAAGCTGGTTATTAATCGGAATTAATAGAAATTTAAAAAATTTGCAAAATCAAACGGATGATACCTAATTTGTCAGAAATAGCAAATAACCTATAATAATAATTTTAATTTACAACAAATTATAGTTTTTTAAATAATATGTTAAGTTTTTATTTTCGCGAAAGAATGTAATCCCTCAATATTTGTTTTACGGAGGTAGGTTCATCGATCATTTATCTACCTACTGTACATTTCATCACTTATTATATGTCATTTTGCATTCTGTTTTTTTTTGTGAGACTCGTGCTCTCGTACAAATTACCGCCTCGCTTTGCCGTAAGGAACTGGTTTGGAACGCGCGATTGCAACCCACGGCGGAATATCCGATGGAGCAATTGGAGACGGAGACAAGTCGAAGTCCGACGGGCACCGTGCAGAGCTTCAGTCCGACCTGGGAGATGCTGCAGGTACCTTCCAGTACTTTCGTATTCTCTTCTTTTCCTCTTTAAACGCTCGCACCGCATGTCGCGTCACGTAAACGTTAACGCAGGAGACGACGGCCCGACTGCTGTTCATGGCTGTCAGATGGGTGCGTTGTCTGCCACCCTTCCAAACGATATCGAAGGACGATCAGCTGCTGCTGCTGGAACGATCCTGGACGCAACTGTTCCTGCTGCATTTGGCGCAATGGTCCATCTCCTGGGACATCACCGCGCTCCTCGAGGACGAGCAAGTGCGCAGCAGACTACCCACGGACGACAATCCGACAAACCAGGAGCTCGTCCTTATTCAGGTTTATCGGCTTATACCTTTTCGCTCCGTAGCAAGTTGTAATGAAATACGAACATCGATGATGAACATCGATATTCAATGAAGTCTCCCTCTTGGCATAGAAAGAAACACTTTTATTCTCTCGTTGCTTTCAAGTTTCGATTTGTCTGATTTGCGCGCATTAAAGTCTACTTTCTCCAAAGACAAGACTAGATTACAACACATCGACTTAATGTTTATTTATTCCTCTCCCTGCTCTTTCTCTCTTATTCCTCTCGAATATTAAATAATATGCAATAGGTAAAATATGAACGCGCAAACGCTAGCACGATTTTGTTTATTTAAGGTGATTTTGTGTCATTTCTCGATTTCGGCGAGCGTTTTTCTTCAGTTTCCTCTGCAGATTCACAAGGTTCATTTCATTTTCAATGGAGCATTCTTTTGCATTCTAGGCTATAATATGTCGATTCAGGCAACTGTCCCCCGATTTCGGCGAGTGCGGCTGCATGAAGGCAGTGGCGTTGTTTACGCCAGGTAAAAAGCGTCATTAGACACAAGCTAATTGTCATACTAGTGTAAATGCGGTACATGGATTATTTCTAAATAAATCTAGCGTCGTTGCAAAATTATCGAATTTGCGAATTTAGTTACGTAATACATGCATGTATCATCGTCATTATTTTAGTACATTTTCGTATTCTCATTATTTATTATTTTATTAATTTCAGATTATTTATCGCTTTTCGAAATGACTTCTCAAAATTATTAAATAATGATTGCATCATTTGTGAAAGGTCGATCGCATTTATCCTTGTGTTATAATTATATCAATCGATATTCTATCTCGCTCATTATTAATGATATACACGTTTTCTCTCCTTATAAATCGCAGAGACAGTGGGCTTGCACGCAATCCAGCCCATTGAGATACTGCAGGATCAGGCGCAACGTATTCTAGTGGATTATACGAGATCACGGTATCCGCAGCAACCCGGTAGAATCGGCAGATTGATGATTCTAGTCGGATACCTGAGGTGCGTCTCTTCGAAGACTGTCGAACGTCTCTTCTTTCACGAAACCATCGGAGAAATACCAATCTCCCGCTTGCTGGTCGACATGTACCAAATGGAGAAGTATATCAATTGAAGCGCAATTTGCATATCGTATGCAACGTACATACACGTTATACATAAATGTGTCAGGACCACAGCGAGCTCGCAGCTTTCCAAAACTCTTCGGACTCTTTCACGTGTAGAAACGGCAGAATAGAATAGAAGAAAAGTTTTCGAAATCTGTAGTGGCCCCCAAAATTTCTTTTTTCTGCTGATTCGCCCTTGCGACCATGTAGTATTATTATCCGATGAAAGTGAAGTGAAGTTTACTGTTTAAATCCATCATAAAATGAGATTTCGATACCATTGCTGTTAAAAAAAAAATAATTGTTCCTTTCTTGGTTATTTTTATAGAAAACTTACCGTAAACTATCTGGTTTTTCTATTGATTGAGTTTGTTACTTAAACCATTAAAAATTGTTTCCTATTTTTAATTATACTTTATTTATAATTAAGATAAAATTGTACATTCGTATTTAATTGTTTTTGTGAATACTTTTATTTACTATTTAATTATAAACATGCTCAAATTTATCCACTTTTTTAAACGTAGTTTTACATTCGTAAAAAGTACGATTTCCAAATATATTCAAGAAAATATAAAAAATGATTAATACGTGTGTTTCTGACAACACTGGGCATTCTACTTACAAAGGCCCTTGTACTACTATCCACTACTTATCACATTTCTAAGTAAGTCGCTAGTTATTTACGTCACTGTTTATATGTCGAACAGTCGTTTTTTTTGCATGACTCAAATAAAAAAAGATTTTGAAATGAAATTTGCACGTGAAGCATTTACTTCGATTTATATATCCTGATGATTATGAAATATAGAAAAAAGTTATGAAATTATATGCGCTTTGTGTTACATATTCGAGTTTCATTGAATCAATGTATAGATTGCAGAAGTCTTAATGAACAATATTTATCTGTTATATAAAAGCATTTGTTTTGTGTAATTATGCGTTTTCGTAAAATAGTAATAATCTATTATTATAAATCCGTTTTTTTTATTTGGAATAATTACTATTTTCTAACTATACATTTTTAGAGTATTTCATATACTAGGCGAAGTACAATTGATTGTAAAACCATTTCGAAAATTGTGCTCGAGAAATAATCGAGAATCTGTAATATAACATGTCCCTCTCTGTGATCCCTCTTGAGTAAAGAATTATTGTACCAATTCGATTTGTTAAATAATGATGATGCGTGGAAAAATAAATATCATATATGTATTGCATCAGCGTAAATAAGCTAAGTTATACGATAAAAATATCGTAGGCAATGGAAGTATCGCAATATAATTATTACAATAAAAAGATATGGTATAATAATGTAAAAAGTGCGGTATAATAATGGTGCTCTAATTTTTTTACATCATTGCTTTGGTAAAAAATAATGTTTATTTATAAGATTTGCAGTTCGAGTGCAGTACAGAATTATTATTATGAATGACAACATAAAAAAATTGAATGAAAAAGATGTATGTATCATAGAATGAAGTTGTACTATATAATTGTTATATTCTCAAATTCTTTTGTTAATAGAATTATTAAATTTGTTATACACTTACGTAAAAAAAATATTGCATACACGATAAGTTCTATTCTGTAATTAATAAATGTCTCATACAAATATACGTCTGTAATATTTCATTCTTCGATATATTTATTTGTAATTTCTTTCATGTATTAAACTTCGTCGATAATAAATTTCTTATACATATTATAATCTAATACCATTTACACAACACACACACACACACACACACACACACACACACATACACACACATACACACACACACCCCATATATAATATACTATATATGTATAATATAATTACATACTTCTATCAACAGCAGAGAAAATAATTTATATTATGTACATTTATAATTCTCATGATAATATATTTTAAAGTTAAGTACTTTATTAAATTGATATTATAAATTAATATTTTATTTTTTTATATGGATATTTTTATTTTTACTTTCTAATGTAAATATATAACCACTTTTTTTATTTATTACTAAAAATAATCGTACTAAAAATCTATCTGTATTTTATATACGTACGTATCTGTATACGTATACGTATCTGTATTTTATGTACGTACATATATATGACATGCCAGAACATGATCTTTAAACTATTTCACAGGCAAATAATCTCAATAATTTAATCAAAACATCAAAAAGCTCAATAATTAGGATTATAATAGTCAATCTTATTTCTTTTTTCTAACATAAGAAAGATAAAAATCAGAATAACATAATTTCTTGATCATTTATCTCAAATCTCAAGGATGAAAATTTTTTCAATGATAGCTAGAAATCAACTTACATTTAATAAAAGCATTTTTTACATATACATATATATTTTATAAATACATTTCTAAATAAAATTATTTTCTATCAAATTTGATACAATTCGTATAATAATTAGTATTGATATATTTTATATTAATATATTAATAAAAATTCTGTTTATATTGTAGATCTTTAGATTAAATAACTCTGTGTCTGCTAGGAATTATATTCTGAAAACAACACATCTACATAATATATTATATGTGTTTATATTATGCATATATTATATCATTGCTGGATTTATTTATCCATCTAGTTTTATTCGTTCAATTTTTAAAATTAGTTTGACCAATAGTCGTGATTCAAAGAATTTTGCAATATACATATTTTGATAACATAGTATATTTGTTTTATCTAACGTGCGCACTACATTTACCAGAGATACATTCTGCATTTTTCATAGAGGGCATTACTTGCTTATGACAACGATGACACAGGGCAATTTCACAAACTTTGATTAACTTATCGGTAATTAATTTGCTAAATAATGCTTATTTTATTAACATTAAGTATAAAGTATTAATTTTTTTTTATTTAATACATAAAACAAATTAAATTACAGAATGATATTATAGTTAAAAATTTTATTAGTTTGTACAATTATTTAGACAGTTGATTTATAATAATCATCGATTAAATTAATTAAACATTGGCTGAAGTAATACTCACTTATAATGAGAATTTTACAACTTTTAAAATAGGATTAATTTGAGAAAATCGAAAAGAACGTCTATAATTGGTATAACTACAGTCAAACCTCGATAACTCAAACCTCTACAACTCAAAAACCTCATAAGACGAAAATTTTATTCATTCTCTTTCGTTTTACGTGAAAAATCTCTATAGATCGAAATGAAACCTACCTTAACTTGAATTATTTGTCAGATATTTAGATGTAATTTATCTCTGCAACTCGAATTTAAAGTAGCCAGACCTATACAAGTCGAAGTTTATTTTATAAATCGAACTTCTATTGTCACTACCTCTATAATTCGAAATTGTAGCTATGTATAACCATGAGTATAACAGCCTGGTATTTGTGATATTTTTGGTATTTTTATGATTACATTTATTATATGTATGCAATAAATATTCACTGTCAAATATTTAATTCTTTTCCTTTGAAAGCCATTATAATCGAAAAATTATAATCTCTCATACAAAGCCTTCGTAAGTCGAATTTTCATATTTTAACTTTCTTTTACTAGAATTTCAATAAGTCGAAAACTCTGTAACTCGAAAACTCCTTTTTTTCCCCTTGAGATTCGAGTTATCGAGATTCGACTGTATAATTTTTGAAACGGAGATGTATTATATTTGACATATATATCTTATTTTGCAACACAAATTTATTTGCTTATCTCCAAGTATATTCATAAAACTTCAACTATAGTTTTTTCGTGTGCAAACCGTAAAATTTGAACTGCGACACCGACGAGATATTATTAAAGATCGATCATTCTTACGAAAGTTCGAGTAACTATTAGCTATTAAAATTAATTTTAACATTATCCAATACGTATAATACAATATTAATTTTAGGATTTATTATTATCTCAATGTTTTTTTAGACATTTATTTTAAATATATATTTACAATTTTTGCTAATGTTTAAATTTTATTTTAAAATTGCATTCTTATTTTATTCATAGTTACCATCCGTATTTGATATAAAGATGATGGTAACTGTAGACAAAAAAATTGTAAATTTGCAACGATATATGATATTACAGCATTATAAATACGAATATTTATTTAAAAGTATTTTGATAATTAAAAATCATGAATTTAATCAAATAATGTAATATTCAAATATTTTCTGTTATAATCATAAATTTATATTAATAGTCGATAATATCGATATTCATCTCCGGGCGTATTTTTAGAACATCCAAGCCATTTGATGGTCATGAAAATTTACCCGCTTTTGCAGGTATGTGTAATTAAAGAACGTTGACATGACCGACTGTTGATGATATGATTTATTGTAGTTATATTTCATTTCACCTACGCAAAAGCATACACTATAATGTTTTATGATTAATAAATAATTATAGTTCTTATATTGTAATTATTCTTTTGGGCTTTATAATTTTATTTTATATAATTTTTGTAAACCACTCAGAAAGTCCTACTTCCCCATCCTCTCTGCACTAAGTACAGAGAGTGAACGATCATTGATGACAGAGCTCTCGAAAAATTCAAGAGCTCGTGTCGTTCTCACGCTCAGAGAAGAGGATTATTACTCCTCATCGTGGTTACATCAACTCCCATGTTAGGGAGGGAGAATGAGATCAACTCCTACAGAACTGATCCTGTGAAGTATGATCTTAAAATTGATGTACCACCGCAGCCCTAGATATAGTATAGGTGAAGGTATTTTAATGACGAGAAACATTTGGTCATTATAGCCATCTATTGACAAAATTCAGAAACAACTAATTTGTCCGTTAATTTACATAAATAGAATTCAAAGCTGATTATCTTTCTATAGTTCTCAAGTGAGCATAACGTTTTTACAAACGTAGACGTCACATGTTAAAAGCGTATTGTCACCATATATGTAATACTACTATAGTGCTACCGAAAACATCACGGTGCAGACAATAATTATCGCTTCTCACTTCCGCAATTTGTGTACAATGCGCATATGCACGTTTGTAATCAATTCATCATATATGATTTTATCACACACGCTGACAACATATGTTCATGTCTAGCAAAGTTGATTATATTTGCCAAAAATACACAAAACTTATCTTATTCCATCTGCATCAGTATTTATTATTACTTCACATAATTTTGATCTAATATTGATGCATTTTTTATTTTTTTTATTTTACGCATTAAAAATTTTTTTACTTTATTCTCTACAATTAGAAGAGTTTCTGAGTAATAATCCATTATAATAAACGCTAAACAAAAGAAGGATACAAATCATAAATCAATCAATTCATATATTATAGTAATTTATATACTCCTATATAAGTAGGGGAATACATTATGATATACTTCCATTTTCCAACCAATTAATTTCATTTTCAGCCAATTAGATTAATTGATTGATTTTATATTGAGTCTGTTTATATTTTATAGGTATGTCTTTTCTCGTATAGATTAAATGGCACAACGATTAATGATTTAAAAGAAAACAAAATCTGTATCTTATTTATCTTGTTTATAAGAATGTTTATTATATCTTGTTTATTATAATGTATCTTATTTATAAGAAAGTTTTACTCGGTCAACTTAGCGTCTTTCTAAAACTGAAGTTATTCTTCACGCGAATTATGATTGATTATTGACAAAGTTAGTTTATTCTGTTTATAATACAAAAAGGAAAAAAGAAAGGAATTGTTTATACCACAATAAATGTACGCTGTGTTTTTAGAATTTAAAAAAAATCAACAAACAAATAAAAAGTTTCAATGTTTTAACGAGAAAATCTATACCAATTGACTTATGATGAAATCTAGGAAAGCTGGAACCTTCGTATATACGCCTGGAATATCAGGTTGAGCGCACTTCTGGCCGTATGAAACTATCCCAACAACGTAATAATATTGTTTATTTCGAGGATCAGGCAACATCAGTGGTCCACCACTGTCACCCTGAAAATTATTTTGTATCGTAAGAGAAATGTATTAATAAAACATATTCATCTAGAATTTAACACACTGCACAAATACACACACACACACACACACACACACACAAATTATTAAAAATTTTTTCTGTCTTCTTAAATTTCAGTTTTGGAAATCATTGCATTGTTGCATCATATTAATTAACGAATTTATTTTTGTTATTTGTATATTATTAACACCATTAAATAAATAAATAATGAAAGCACGCACAATTAAGATTCGGAAACTAATAGAACTATTACAAAGGAAGGGTTGCGATTTAAACCATTTTTGCTCCCCCCCCCCTTGAATTCAAATAAAATTTGGCGGAAAATATATATGTTTCATAATTCCCTAAAAGAATCCGTAACCTCATTGTTTATTAATACACATTTTGAATTTAAATGGTTTATAGGGGTTTTGGCACTTTCTGATAATTGAGGTTTTCTTTGACAATGTTCCTAGAATTGACACTTTATCAAACTGTCTTAAAAACTTGCCTAGCTAAGGTATTATCTAGAATATATCAATTAAGAGATGAAAGTGATGTAAGCGTGCACACACTGTCATCCAACGTTCGCGTTGAATCCACGAATGCGCTATCTTCACACGCATCTATATAGTGGTTCAAGACCTTGCAGATTCGAAATAATGATCGCATGATTCAAAATAGATAAGTAAATAAGAAAAATAACAATAAGTTCAATAGATTGATTTATTAAAAAAGAAAGGGGGGAAAATGGTGCAAAATGAATAGATCTCTAAGATTTTGTTCTGACCGTGAATGAAGAGGAATAGAATCGAAAAAAAAATGTTTGATCCTCTCGCCAAGATAATATAAATTGTCGACATTTACCCAACCACCTCCACGTGCACCATAAGGAGATTATTCGATCGCACATCTTGTGTACGTATATGTATTTGCAAGAGAAAAGAATACAATCTGTGAATTCGATAATATGAGATATCCCGAAATATAATAACTGATTGGTATTGTCAGTGTCAAAACAGTGCGAGAATGGTTGGTTGTGTACATATCGCATTAATTTTATAATGTTTTGGATGTTACCGATTTTTGGATAAAAATGGAAACTTATTTCTCACTTTGCATGTCCAAAAATGCTTCTACGGATAATGATAGCAGAGATTCACCTGATACAGATTAGTGTGAATCGGATAAAGTAAAAAAAAATATGGTAACTGCAAAATAATAATGAAAGGGGTTTGGAGTCACAAAAATCACTGTAGGAGCGACGAATTATGGGGTCCCCGTAATTCATCTTATATTATTTGCGGTGTTTAATGTGCGCGCGCACGCACACGCAAGACACACACACACACATACACACACGCGCGCGCGCGCGCGCAAAACCGATTGAGTAACCTCCACGTGGTGCACGTGGCGGGTAATGCAAATGTCGACAATTTATATTATTTTGGCCAAAGGATCAAACATTTTTTCGGTTCTTTTCCTCTTCATTCATGGTCAAAACAAAATCTTAGAGATTTATTTATTTTGCATAATTTTCTTCCCTTTCTTTTTTAATAAGTCAATTTATTGAACTCATTGTTCTTTTTCTTATTTACTTATCTCTTTTGAATCATGCGATCGTTAGTTCAAATCTGCAAGCTCTTTAAATGGTCTTGAACCATTATAGATGCGTGTGAAAATAGCGCATTCGTAGATACAACGCGCTGGATGACAGTACGGTGCGCACGCTTGAATCGCTTTCATCTCTTGAATTTAGATTATATTCTAGGCAAGTTTTTGCGAAAATTTGGTGAAGTGGCAATTCCAAACATTGTAAAAAAAAACCTTAATTATCGAAATATGTTAAATTCTCTGTAAATCGCTCAAATTCAAAAATGTAATAATTCATAAATGACGAGGTTCAAGATCCTTTTAAAGAATTATGAGACACATGGACGTACATTTTCCGCCTAGTTTCTTTTGAATTCAAAGGGCGGCCAAAAATGACTCAAATTGCAATCCCTCCTTTAGTGAAGTAATTTTATAACAAAAATAATATGTAAGTATAATGATAATTAGAAAGGCAAAATTTTACTAAAAAATTGTTTAAATAAAAAGTTTAAATAAAATTAAAATACATATTTATAATATATGTATAAATCAAGAATTCTTAATTTTTTGTTCGTTTTTCAGAAGAAAGAAAGGGGATAGAAGAGAGAGAGAGAGAGAGAGAGAGAGAGAGAGAGAGAGAGAGAGAGAGGAAAAATAAACCTGTTATTAATTTTTTATCATAATTTTACTATTTTCTTTCTTTCACCTGACAAGCATCTTTTCCACCTTGAGCATATCCAGCGCATACAACACGGTTGTCAATCACCGCCTGCGTATTTTGATAGGTAGTACGACATTTTTCTTGTGGAACTACAGGAACTTGTGTTTGCAAAAGTTTACTGCTTTTTGGTCCTTCTAAAAAAGAAAAATAGTAAATTTTTTAAATGTTTTGACTATAAGGGATTATTGTGTATTTATTATCAGATTATAATTAAGCGAGATTTAAGTTATACCGCATATTACTTACGGAAATAAACAGATCCCCATCCAACAACGAAAGGATACGTATTCTCTAAATTTGTATTTCTGATAAAATCGTCCATTGGAAGACAAATAGGATGAACAGATACTGAAAGTTAACAAGGTATATCAATCCATTATATTGTGACAAGAAAAAAGAATTATGTTCTACAGCAATATTTAATTTTGAAGATTGCAATATCAATACATGTAATTTTGAAAATTTTATTGACTTTATAAATTTAATATCTATTTTAAAATGTATTACTTTATTATACTGTTACGCCCGCGGCGCGTTCCGAAAGTATTACACTCGCGGCGCATACTCGACACTCTCGCGCACTCCCGCACTCGCGAAATGAATAATACATATATTTATAGAGTAAAAATATGAATAACAATAAGCTTTACGAGCTTGTCTATCTAAACGTAATCATATCATTCTCATTTAAGAGTAAAAGAAAAAAATAGAGGAGAGTCCCCTATTATAGAGATAAGCTCCTAATATGAGCTGTTTCTGTTAAAGTAATAAACATACCATCTGCTGGTTTTACCATAAACTTATTGTGCTTTGAGTGAAGTATATTTAATGGAAAAATCGTTATTAGATTGTGCGTATATTCATCGTGAAAAAACATTGATTAAATTGGAAGTTGTTAAGTTCTATTGAGTCTTTAAATCTTGTTTATTATTTAATAAATAAATGTTTGTGCAGATCATAAATTCTGCATGTATAAGTACTAGACTAAAATCGCATTAACAAGAAAATACAGGATATGTTAAATTGCTTAATTGTAGAGATTGGATTTGATTAGATCGTGAATCCGCAAGACGTGGGACTTGTAATATGAGGTACTCAGGATTCTTCTAATATGAGACTTGACATCGCGAGCGCCGTGTCGCTTGATAATTTACGGTGCTTTCTATTTAGCGACGAAAGTTGGCATAAGCGTCATTCTATCTTTGTTGTCATTGAACGTTGAAAAAAGACAAAATGATGCTTACAGTCAGTGGCACAAAAGCGTTATCTGTTTCTCTTGAGAAAGAAAAGATTTTTGAAAAATAATTATATCATTTTGAAGTATATTATATACGCTTTGATGCATTTATTTAATACGTCATCTAGTTCCCTCCGTTGTCGATTAAGGCTTGGAATAATATAGGCATACTTTTTATTATACAAGGTTTTTTTGTAAAAATCTCGGAAACTCTAAATCATGACTTCCAAATCAAATGTAATTGATACTAATTCCTTCAAAATGAAGATATGTTTTTTCTTCATCTGGATTTTTATAGCAATCTATACATTTTCAATCGTGTTAACATAAAGAGATTGTGAAAATCAGTGTTTTGTAAAAATGCCATTTTATATATCCTGTATTTATTGGGTTTTATTCAGTTATAACACAACAACTAAACCAAACTGAAATCTAACTTTCAAAGCATTTTAGCCTAATGTATTGCTAATATTAACATATAACAATTTTACTCATACGACATCTATTAACAGAATTATATGAATAATACGCTCTTGTGCCACTGACTGTATGTCAATTTATGTCGCTAGAGAAATGGAAAACACTTTATTCGAGTGCTAAAGTTAGAGGGGGAAAGATTGAAATTCGTAATAAGAAATAAAATTACATATTTATGAATGCTCTGAGAAAAGAAAGAAATAGAATTTATATATATATATATATATATATATATATATATATATTTGTAGTATACAACTATAAGTGAATTTGTGATTATTGCAAATAATTTTTTCATTTCTATTTTAAAACATTTATATTTTATTAAATATAATTTTCTAATTGTAATACTGATTTTTGCATTTTATTAGCGAATTCTCAGAGTACCTATAACTCATATTAAGAGCACACTTTTTCGATTTTGTATAAAGCTCTCTTTTTACAATCTTCTAATTTTTAGAAAAAAATAATATTTAAATTAGATTTTCTATTTTAGTATGTATCTTAAAGTTTATTAAATTTTCTTTAAAATGACTTATCACATTTTTAGGTTCTACCCAGAGAGAAAGAGAGAGAGAGAGAGAGAGAGAGCAAGACTATCGCCAATTACACAAACTAAACTAGTTAAATATCTCATCATAGGGAACTTTCGTTTAACATTGTTACATTTCTATAACTCTCCGATGTAAAACGATAATATACATACATCCATCAGTTAAGATTCGGATGGAATAAGATTTGCATTTGAATGAACAGTGTATTACAGGACAAAAGATTGAAAGTTAATTGATTCTTAAGCAATCTGAGTAAAGTTTCACTTTTTATTTTCTATCTTATACCAATCAAATTCTTCATATAAAGAATTTTATATCGCGTTTTCCCTATTTATGCATACGTGATGGAAATCTTGCCTTTTATTTCTCAAAGGAGAATTATGTAAAACGAAATAGAGTAGAATAAAAAGAAGCTTACGTGTAAAGGGTACTTCCTGGAACGTTTTCAGAACCGCCACATCGTTCGTGAGGGTCCAGCGATCAAATTCGGGGTGCACTGTTTTCCTTTCGATGAAGTCCTCAAACGGGGTCGCCCCATCGTAGTCATCGTTGAGATCCAAGTCTCCAATGCGCACTTTGTACAAATCTTCTCGTTCGTAAACGCAATGCCCGGCGGTAAGCACATGTCGACGAGTAATCAAGACGCCGCCGCAAAGCCAGCTCGGAACGTTTGGATTTTCCGAGTTTGTATATCCGAGAGCGGTCATCCAAGGCCAAGCACCTGCGAAATGAATCGACTATCGATTAACCGATGAATCGATTAACTGCAATGATAATAAAGTGCTAGAACAATCAATGCTGATCTCGGCCATCTTTATAATTGTTTCCATAAGTAAATGAGTGCCAATATTTTTTATTATTCTGTATAAATATTTTAATTGTTCTATCAAAATCTATTTGAAACGAAGTGTAGAGCAAGTTAATTACATTTCCCGAGATTAATTTATTGAAAAAGACTTTTACTCTCAATTGTTTGTAATGCAAAAAATACAGGAAAAAAATAAAATTGGTCGAACAATATTCCTGTAAAATCTTTTAAAAACAAGAAAGAACGGACTTTAAATTTTCTGCAATAAATTGAGATAAATTTTTTTTCATAAAAGACATCAAAATTCTGATATGATTATTTAATTAGCAATTTAAATTAATGGGAAATGTGTTAAAATGCTCTGAATGCTCTTTAATGCAAAAATCATTCATACCTAACGGGGCTGGCGTGCCACCAACGATTCTCTGTGGTATCACATTACTGAATCCGCATTCAGGTGGATACAAAGGACCGTATTCAGATTTGCTGGAGGGACAGCAAACCTTAGGATCATTACCTTCGTAACCGCAAATGGAAGCACGGAGAAATTCGAGTACTTGCGGATTTTCCTTGTTCAATTTCAGAAGATTGAATAACGACGTACATGATTTGATATTGATGCATGTACCGACATATCCCTGCGGATTTCGGCATGTATCTGTCAAAATTCGAATTTAAAGAATACACGAACTATAATAATAACACGCCTAGTAAATTTCTGTGAGATATGTTAAAATAATTTCTGTTCTTTTTTCCTATATACAGTATGTACATGGTTTAAGTTTCAAGAACCTTTTTGCTTATAACAAAAAGATCACAATCGTGAGTTTATATGTCTTGCAAAAACTTCTCATATCGTTGATATAAGCCGATCACTGTTTATAATGTAAACATTTTTAGGAGTGTCGACACTAATCATACTCATTGTAAATCAATAGCTTTTACCATCAAATAAGATGAACAGTTTGATTTCTTTGGTACTCTTAGGTCTTTATTATAGGTCATTATCAAATCACATCTCAAGAGTATATTAGGTGAAACACTGCTTGGAATAGAATTTTATATCTTAAGATGTAAGATAGTTATTATCGTATTTTGATAATCATAATTTAATTGATATTTAATTCATATTGATATATGATATTTAATTGATATTTAATTCATATTTTGATAATCATAATTTAATTGATAATTTGATAATCTTAATTTAATTAAAAATTAATGAAATTTGATCAATTTTTTGCAGAAAATCAATTTGATTTGGATATTGCAATAACCTAAGGAATAGGTTTGGTAATTCTATCGTCTGCATTCTCATTAATTCCTGTACTATTAAGCTTGCAAACACGTGCCTTCTGTCAATACGCACGTTTTTGGTAAAATCATATATCTTATAAATCTTATAAATCAATGATATTAGAATTATATGGATTGTACTGTTACGTCCTGGGGTATGAAGGACGCGGGGAGTGGGATCGACCTTGGAAATTATTTGAGATAAAAGGAGTTTGTTGAGATAGGAGAGTCACAATACTCACAATCAGAAATGGCTAGTCTTTAAAGCCGTAATCACACTAGCGATTAAGGTTGAGATTGGATTGAAATTTGACCAATCAGAAGAAAAATAAATAATATCAAGTTTAGTAAATTCTGCTTTGATTGGTCAAATCCCAATTTAATCTCAATCTC